TGATCACTCCTGATTTCTACTGGGACAGAGAAGATCTTGAGCAGCTCTATGACAAGACCTGTCAGTTCCTCAATATTAACCGAAGAGTTAAGGTTAGTGAAAGTACTTGCAAAAAATGTTTTTTGCATCTATCTTAAAGGAAAAGTTCGCCTAAAAATGAAAACTAGCTTAACATTTACTCACCCTCAGACCATCCAAGATGTAAATTAGTTTGTTTCTGCATTTGGAGAAATTTTGCATTCCATCATTTGCTCACCAGTGGATCCTCTACAGTGAATGGGTGCCGTCAGAATGAGAAACCAAACAGCTGATAAACATATCACAATAATCCACAAGTAATCCACACCACTCCAGTCCATCAGTTAACATCTTGTGATGTGAAAAGCTGTGTGTTTGTAAGACACAAATCTATCATTAACCTGTTTTAACTTTAAACCGCTACACTTCACAAGACAATTACTTGTGGATTATTGTGATGTTTTTATCAGCTGTTTGGACTCATTCTGACAGCACCCATTCACTGCAGAGGATCCATTGGTGAGCAAGTGATGTCATGCTAAATTTCTACATCTACATCTTGAATGACCTAAGGGTGAGTAAACTTTAAGCAAATTAAAATTTTGGGGTAAACTATTCCGTTAAGGGACATATAAATATCCTGATAAAATGTTGCTTTGATCCTAGCTCACTGTTTGTTTTCTAGGTTGTGAACGAGAAGTTACAACACTGCACTGAACTTACAGACCTGATGAGGAATCACTTCAGTGAGAAACACAGTCTCAGACTGGAGTGGATGATCGTCGTACTGATTACTATTGAGGTTAGTAAACACTGATATCCACTTTAAGCAGACTTTCATTTTGAACACCAGTTCAATAGACAATAAATAATATTCAGCTGCACTGTCAAAAACTGTTGAAACGTCTACATCATATCATATTTATGCCCTCCAAATTTGATTTAAATTACACATTTTGCAAATGCAATGCAAAACCTATATATATATATTACTTTCTTTTATCTTTAGGTGATGTTTGAACTTGCTCGTGTAATCTTCTGAGGACCCACAGATACTGTCTTACAATGGCATACAGTGACTTTTTGTAAACCAGCAAATCATTTTGTTTTCTGTAGATGAAGTTCTCATTGATAAATCATCTTATCTTTTGCTATTCTTAATGTGACACTGACCCGAAATAAAGTTTTTTTTTAGAAGTATCGGATAAATAGTGGCTCATTTTGTGTCTGTTTTGCCTCCTTTTCAGAAAGTTATGGGATAGAAATCACTGTTGAATCTATGTCCTTAACTCTACTCCTGCTGTAAAATCCAGATTAAGCAGATAGCTGTGTTTTGGAACTTCTAAATGAGCTTGAGTAATATAAAACCGCTCCAAAATGTGCACAACTTTTCACATGCTGCATTGTTGCCAATGGCATGGAACTTGGTTTTGTAATTGTGTTGTGCTTACATAGCCTCTGATAATACTAAAATTTCTCCACTGATTTTTTTTTTTACTTTACAAGCTGTGACAAACTGTCTCTGTTTTTTGGAACACATATATAAGCTTAAGTAGGCTAACATTTTACACTTTTATTCATTATTTCACTAGTTATTAAAAATGCTGCTCAAATGAACCTGCTAACAAATGTTCTAGTGGTCTCGCAGTTGATTGATTGATCGATCAGCCTCTAGTGATCGACAGCCGCTCGATACGGCGCGCGCTAACGTCATGTGATTCAAAAGCCTCCGGAAAACGGCAGCAGATTACAGACTGACTGAACTCGTACTGCTCGGTGGAGAGGTTTCCTCCGCTTCAGCCAACAAACTAAACTGAATTAGAGTTCTGTCGCGAAAGAGAAGACGGTAAGTGACGGCTTAAAGGTTTTATTTCAAACAAGTGTTTAATACAACGGTTGTCGGCTTGTTTTTAGTCCAGTAACGAAGGACACTATCGATTACTCGCGGATCTTGACCGAAAAGTATACATATTTTGACCGTTTTCGTCTTGGCATTGCTTTTGCTTATCGGAAGATTAACGGTTTTCATTTCTCTGTTCATCTGTGATTTTCTTTCGCTCGTTTAAAGTGTAACGTAATGTTATTTTATTTGATTCATTGCGTGAGCGCGTGTTTCATATTTGTCCGCGGAAACTTCTTCACCAGCATGGGCGGGGCTTCAACACACACACACACACACACACACGCAGTTGCCTCAAAACCTATTTAGACACTGAAACCACACTTTTAAAATAGGACATTATGAAGGTTTTTACATTTAAATTCTTTTTTTTTTTTTGCAAGTGAGGAATGTTATAACAAGTAGTTTTTACTGTATTTGTTATAAGTATTGTTACCCTCACAAGTATAGAAAAACACCCTTACTGCTATATATATACAGTAGTCAATAGTTGAAGTGGATCAAAACAGTTAATCAAAGTTGTCCTAAGACGAGAACGCATTTTGGTTTTAGGACAATTTTGATGAAAGGTTTTGATCCACTTCAAATGTTGACTACTGTATATATACACACACACACACACACACAATCAAATTAATATACAAAAAATGGCCAAAAATATACATTTGCACAAATATGATTCAGAATATATATATATATATATATACCAATATATTTTTCGCCATTTTTTCATGTATTTTTAAAATATATTTTAAAAATATTTATTTTTCAAAACCGCTTAAAAATGTGTTTTGTCCTCCGTATATTTCAGTCCAAGAAAATACATTCACATGTCACATTTGAGGGGGGAAAAACTTTATTTGTTGTAAAAGTGTAATATAACAATATATAAATAGTTACCACATATGCATTCATCCTCAATGTAGCCTACTGTAAGATTGAATTTTTTTTTTATCATGCCCATTTTACAATTTTCAATTCCGAAAATATATTTCATTGAGCTTCTGTTTCCAGCATATATATTGAATGTATTTAAAATATATATTGGCCAGAATTTATTTATTTATTTAGCCATATGGTCAAGGATACATAAGCTATAGATGTTCTTTAATAAATGGAGTTTTGGTGACCGAAATGCATATTTAATGAGGTGCAAAATAAATTGGCTGAACCTACTGAAAACCTTACGAATATTTTCTTTTAATTTGTGTGTGTGTGTGTGTGTGTGTGTTTAGGTGGAAAAAAATGGACTTGGCCCATCATGGTCTCGTTCTCCTTAAGCGCCTCAATGCTCAGAGAGAGTTTGGTTTTCTCTGTGACTGTACTGTGGCCATCGGGGATGTTCTTTTCAAAGCCCACAAAGCCGTTCTTGCAGCGTTCTCAAACTACTTCCGTATGCTGTTCATCCATCAAGACAGGTACTACGAACGTGATTGCAAAAAAGTTCTTTGTTCACATTTGCAGTACTCTGTTTTTAAATGATTCTTTATGCTTCTCTTTTGCAGTAACTGTGTTCGACTGAGGCCTTCAGACATACAAGCAGATATCTTCAGCTACCTGCTAAACTTAATGTACACTGGAAAATTCACCACACAGCCCATTGACCCTCTTCGCCTTGAGCAAGGTGTAAAATTCCTGCATGCCTACCCTTTATTACAGGAGGCAAGTCTTCTTATAAACCCTGAGTCCCAGTGTGTACCTTTGACAAACTTGCTTTATGGAATACAGATACCTGATCAGGCATACAGCCGGCCTGAAAGAAATACAGCATGCAAGGATGGCATTTATGCTAAAAACTCTGAAAACGTTAACCGCAAATTTTTGGAAATTTCTGATATGGATTACAGATCTCCACAACCTGTCGGCATAGAGTCACCCACCCAGAATCCTGCAGCCACAATGGTCCGACACCTCACATATGGCATAATGAGTAAGAGTGCTTCCTCCAGAAAGCATTACACCTGTAATTATTGTGGAATCCATTTTAACCAGAGGTGCAAGTTGAAGGAACATCTCCTTGTCCACACCAACCAAGCAACTGAGCCGCAGATGTTGTCTATGCAAAATGGTCACACTATTGAGCTTGAAGTTCAGGATATGGAAGAGGACCATTTGCGTGCTGACAGTGATGTTATTAGTGATACCGATCAACAGGCATGGATGGAAGACACCCCGCCGCCCTCTGAAATGGCTGATATAGACAACCTGGAGGGCACCGAGATGGGTCGTGAAATGAAACGCAGAAAATTTGAGTGTCCGACCTGTGCTCGCAAGTTTATTCAGAAAAGTCACTGGCGTGAGCACATGTACATTCACACTGGAAAGCCATATAAGTGCAGTGCTTGCGGAAAGAACTTCTGCAGAGCCAATCAAGCTGCTCGACACGTTTGTCTGAGTCAGGACACAGACTCGCACATTATGGTCAACAAACAGAGTTTGGTTTTGTGTGGTGGAGAAGACAACAGTCAAGTGGAAGCTCTCTTTCAGTCTTCTGAAAGACCTTATAAATGTAGCATGTGTGCAGCACCTTTTGCAAGTCCTTCTGAGGTTCCCAAACATCAGTGTTTGACTGAGCGCGACACTGTACCATTGGCAGAAAATTCACTGGGGGAAAATCAAAAGAAGGACTTGGAGACAACTATTCCCTGAAGTAACCATTCCTTCTTGAAATGTCATGCTAAAGCAGTATTAGCTTATTGCCAGTATTTAACTATTTGTATGTTTGTGTTGTTATGAACTAAGAGATAAGTATTTTTTTAAGGCCCACTGCATTTTCATGTCTTTTTATCTATTGAAAGGTCATTTGTGAATTAGTTTGAAACGAATAAAATGCCAAAACTTAATATTTCCAATCAGAAACACTTCTGAGTTGCCTCGTTAAGTAATTCTACATTGCAAGTAGAAGAAAAAAACAGCATATTATGAGGCTGTCTTTCATCCATTCGCCAAAATAAAATAAAAACTGTACTAGCTTGCTGTATATCAACTTTTCATAAATTACAAGTCCAAAATTGGTAATGTTTCTTTTATTTAAATAAAACTTAAAATTATCATTTGTATTAAACCATACATTTTCAAATGTCGCAAAATCCAGGAACAACAATACACTTGTATTTAGTTGATTGTTAATATTGCAATTTCTTCAAAGATGCATAGTCTGTATAATCAAACAGTCTGTACATGTGGTTTCGGATACTTCTTGGCAATATATTAGAATAAGTAAAAAATGTGTTTTCAATCATGTCATGGCTTATTGTATCAGGCCAGACGCAAACCTCCGTAATACAGGCAAGGCAGGTTGTATAATATTAAAAATGCTCAACTGTGTAATGATCATATGCAGTACAGAGTGGTTTGATACTCATTTGATACTCATAGAACATTTATATATGTTAAGTGCTTCTCTGGGGAAAAAATAAAAAACTTATATGGGGAAAAGTCAGTAGTTGCAACATTAGATTGCATGCTTCAATTTTCATGCCAAAAATATAGCCACAAATATTTTCTAAGATTGGGTGTTTCTATAAATTAAAATTGTAAATTACAAATAAAAATATTCATAACAATGACATGGCAACAAAAATAAATCATGAGTTTGATAAGATTTTGACTTCTTTGTAAAAACAAATTAAACAATCTGTCATTTTCAGTCATTGACTACATCTGACTGAATACTGTCTAAATCTCTCATGATTGTGATTTGCTCATTACAGCTTTGGTAAAATGTACATCGTATTTAGAGTATAAAATAAATTTATCCTTGATGCATATCAAGAGGTATATGATGGTTCAAAATGAAATTACCCTTGATTTAGTAAATATCTTTAAATACCAGGAATTGCACATTCTACTATGACAATCATTTTCTTATGCTAAATATGCCAAATGGTCAAGATATAATGCATGTGTACAAAAGTTTTTTTTTTGTTTTTTTTTAGATATGTAACAACATGATATAATGTGGCATAAGCTTATGCTAATGTCTGAATAATGATAAAAACAATTAATTGACAAAAATCCTCAGTAAAAATATGACAAAATAGCTGCTTTTGAAGGGTTTTATATGTTGAAATATTTTCTGCATCAAAGTAAAATGTAAAAATGTAGTTAATGATCAAAAAACAGCCTCTCCACTGAATAACTACTGTTTTTGGTTTCACTTTTGCTTAAGGGAACTTTGATGCAATTTTACTTCTCAGTGGTTTGGTCATTTCTTTGTTGTCAGAAATGTGAATCCCAGCTGATTTTGTGCTGAGCACAGCCTCTTCCAGGTGTAAAATGTTCTGAATTTTCCTTGTTAAACTTGCACCTGAAATTATAGAATCAGTGTTATAATTTTTTTTTAAAGGGGTCATATGATGCTGCTAAAAAGAACATTATTTTGTGTATTTGGTGTAATGAAATGTGTTTATGCGGTTTAAAGTTAAAAAAACACATTATTTTCCACATACTGTACATTATTGTTTCTCCTCTATGCCCCGCCTTTTTGAAACGCGTCGATTTTTACAAAGCTCATCGGTCTGAAAAAGCGAGGTGTGCTGTGATTGGCCAGCTATTCAGTGCGTTGTGATTGGCCGAATACCTCAAGCGTGAGACGGAAATGTTACGCCCCTCACCATACTGTTGATGCCGTGTCCGGCCGGAGCGACGAGACATAAACATTAAAACCCATTACAAACGAGGCATTTGTTGCATCCAGTGGGGACATAATTACTGATTATAATGACTTATACTGTCTTTTTACGCGTTGCGCCGCGCCGCGTAAACATAAAACCCTGTCTGCATTTGTGATCAGAGAAATGACAAACAACAAGTGCTAACGTTAATCCACACTGCCCAAAACTCGCGTTTGAATCATCAGTGGCAAATGATGAAAGAAAACGTACTTACGTGAGTCAGAACTGCCGGCATTTTAGTCTAACGTAACTCTCCCAGGATCAGTAAACAGTCCTCCATAAAATGTGCTGGCGATCCACAGCACTAAGTTGATGTATTTCCTCAGCGACCAGCACGGATCAGCTCTAGGCATGACGAAGCGGATATCGTCCTCTTTTGGAAGACCAAACAAAGTAGCTTCGCTTTCACAACGAAGCACACAGCGTCTTCAGGACATGGCGGCAGCGGCAACAATACTACAGTGAGAATAAAAGTTACGCCTTCTTTCTTTGCGTGAACATTTGGGCGGCGTTATGCAAATCTTCCCACATAGTGAGGTAGATATGTGGGGGCGTGTTCGAACGAGCCGTTTTAGGTAGGTGTGGCTAACTCTTAACTTTTATAAAGAATATCTCTTTGGATTTGAGACTTTAGTCTTTGCAACTTTACAGATCTTCTTTATGCACCAAGAGCTTGTAACACTCTAAAGAGAAAGGAAAAAATGAAATCGCATCATATGACCCCTTTAACAATCCGACATCAAAAATGACTGATAACTGAATGCAATGTAATAAAATGACTTACCAACTCAAATCTTTCATCTGGTTTAGCATGCCACTATCAAATTGCAGCATCAGATGTTTGTTTAGCAGCAGTATCTTGGGGTGCATCCTCTGTGTGTGTCACCTGACACGGGGAATCTCCAATATTATCTACAGCATCCTCCCACACATCCTCCTCTACCTCTGACTGAGGTTCTGTTGAAGTATGCCGCAAGGAAGCCTTCCCATTTTCTTCATCTGATATACACTCTTGAGTTAAAACTGATGTCTTTACCTCTTTCGCAGCCACAAATGGTGGTTCAACATCTTTAGACACAACTGAAGCCTCTGACTTTGCTTCCTTTTTCTCCTGTTCAACTACCTGCAACATTGCTTTCTTTACTTCTGCTGTAGCAACAGGTGGAGCTGTTGCTACTACAACTGCGGCAATAGCTGGTGCCATCATCACAGGGGATAAAGTAGGTGTCTCTGCTACTGGTGTCTTCTGTCGTGCCTTTTCTAATGTAGTCACAGTGGGTGCCTCCATCCCATTTACAACTGATGTTGCCTTTACCAAGAGCATTGCTGGTGTCGTCGGTGTCTGTGCTACCTGCTCTGTAACTGGTGTTTGTACTGCTGGGATCGCAGTAGGCACTTCTGGTAATGAAAATGGTGTCTCTACCACTGGTGTCTTTACTTCTACTCCTGCAGTCATTGCTGGTAGAACTACTGGAGGTGCAGCCTCTTTTGCAATCACTGAAACTAGAGCTGGTGTCTGTACCACTGGGATCATAACAGGTCTCTCTGCCATTGCAATTGCAGTTGGTGCTTCTGTGGTAGTTTCTAGTACTAGGCTCACAACTGACCTTTCCGCTACTGGAGTCACAGTTTGTGTCATCATCACTGGCGTTACAACTGGTGTCTCTGCCACTACAACTGGAGTTGGAGTTTCCACTACTGGGATCACAACAGGTGTTTCTGCTGCTGCAGTCACTGCTGAAACAACTATTGGAGGAGTAGCTTCTGGTACTGCCACTAAAACCTGACATGGTGTCTGTGCCACTGGAGTCAAAACTGGTGTCTCAACCACTGCAACTGGAGCTGGCTTTACTACTGGACTTTCTACTACTGGGATCATAACAGGTGTTTCTACTGTTGCACCCACTGCTGAAACAACTACTGGAGGTGCAGTCTCTGTTACTATCTCTGAAACCTGACCTGGTGTCTGTACCACTGGGGTCACAGCTGGTGTCTCAACGACTGCAACTGCAGTTGACTTTACAACTGGCGCTTCTACTACTGGGATCATAACAGGTGTTTCTTCTGTTGCAGTTACTGCAGAAACAACTACTGGAGGTGTAGTGTCTGTTACCATCTCTGAAACCTGACCTGGTGTCTGTACCACTGGGGTCACAACTGGTGTCTTAACCACTGCAACTGGAGTTGACTTTACAATGGGAGTTTCTACTACTGGGATCACAACAGGTGTTTCTGCTGCTGCAGAAACATCTACTGGAGGTGCAGTCTCTGTTACCATCACTGAAATCTGACCTGGTGTCTGTACCACTGGGGTCACAGCTGGTGTCTCAACCACTGCAACTGCAGTTGACTTTACAACTGGCGCTTCCACTACTGGGATCATAACAGGTGTTTCTTCTGTTGTTTCTACTACTGGGATCATAACAGGTGTTTCTACTGTTGCACCCACTGCTGAAACAACTACTGGAGGTGCAGTCTCTGTTACTATCTCTGAAACCTGACCTGGTGTTTGTACCACTGGGGTCACAGCTGGTGTCTCAACCACTGCAACTGCAGTTGACTTTACAATTGGTGCTTCTACTACTGGGATCATAACAGGTGTTTCCACTGTTGCAGTTACTGCTGAAACAACTACTGGAGGTGTAGTGTCTGTTACCATCTCTGAAACCTGACCTGGTGTCTGTACTACTGGGGTCACAACTGGTGTCTTAACCACTGCAACTGGTGTTGACTTTACAACAGGAGTTTCTACTACTGGAATTACAACAGGTGCCTCTATTGCTGCAGTCACCACTGATACAACTACTGGAGGTGCAGTCTCTGTTACCATCACTGAAACCTTACCTGGTGTCTGTACCACTGGGGTCACAACTGGTGTCTTATCCACTGCAACCGAAGCTGAATTTACAACAGGAGTTTGTAATACTGGGAACTCAACAGGTGTTTCTACTGCTGCAGTCTCTTCTGAAACAACTACCGGAGGGACAGTCTCTGTTACCATCACTGAAACCTGACCTGGTGTCTGTACCACTTGGGTCACAACTGGTGTCTCAACCACTGCAACTGGAACTGCAACAACAGCAGTTTCTACAGCTGGGATCACAGCTGATGTTTCTGATACTGCAGTTGCTGCTGGTGTAACTGGAGGTGCTGCATGTGTTGCAATTACTGAAATCTGAGCTGGTGTTTCTACCACTGGTGTCACAAGTGATGTCTCAGCAACTGAAGTTACTACTGAGGTTTTTACTTCTGGGATCATAACTGTTTCTGATGCTATTGGAGTTCCAGCTGATGTAACTACTACAGGAGATACAGCTTCTGCCACTGTCATTGAAATCATAGCAGTGTCTGGTGTCTTTGCCACTTCAGCTACAGTTGGTTTTACTGATGTGATGGAGACAATGGGAGTTTCAATTACTTGTCTCACAGGTGTTTCTGCAAATGAGGTCACATCTAGTGTAACCTCTTCTGGAGGTACAGTCTCGTCAACTGAAACAACAGCTGGAGTCTCCACAACAGATGTTACTGTGGCTGGGATCTCTACTACAGGGGACACAACTGTTTTCTCTACTGCAGCTGGAGTTGATTTTACTGCTGTGACAGAAAAAACAGGTGTTTCTACAACTGTGCTAACAACTGGTGCTTCTGCTAGTGTAGTAGTCACTGTTCCTGTACTTACCACTAGAGATGCAGCTTCTGTTACTATTACTGAACCAATATCTGGTGTTGCTACCACTGGAATCACATTCTGTATCTCTACTACTGGGGCCACAGCAGTCCTCACAATCACTGATTCGACATTTGGTGTTTCGACAGGTGTGTCTTTTACAGGAGATACATCCTTTGACTCGTTGCCTAGAGTTACAATTGGCGTTACTTCATCTAAAGGTGTAGCTGGTGTCACTACCACAGAAATAACAGTGGGAATCTCCATCACTTGTTCTTTGATCACTGTTGTTAACACTGTTGTGTCAGAGTCTATGTTTTGATTTTGTGATGTAAGAGCAGAATTATGAGTATCAGTTGTTTTTGCCATAGATGTAACCACTGGTGTTTCTACTTCAAGTTCTTTAACCACTGAGGTGACAACTGGTGTCTCCACTTCCAGTTCAGTTACTACAGCTGTCTCTACTTTCACTTCTGATGCCACTGGAATTTCTACCTTTGGTTCTGTCACTTCAAGTGTCTCAGCCCTGAGTTCACTCACTACTTGTGACTGTATCTCAGAAACAGCAACTTCTGGCATTTTTGCTGCAACTTCAGAGGTCAGTGGTGATTCTTGTGCAGTGGGTGTTATTTCCATTACTGCAGTTATTTCATCTTTAATTTCTGTCTTGTCTACCTGCAACTCATTTGACAGTATCTTTTCTGTTACCTGTTCATGAGGTTCACATTTTAGACTAGCATTTTCATCTTCTTCATTCTTCTTTTCACTCATATTACTAACCTCTATTTCTGCAGCAGTATAATTTTGTGCCAGCTCTGTGATTGTAGGCACTTCAATCATAGCCGGCCCTGAATCAAACCCTTCTGGTTCTGGTTTGGGAGCAACAGCCATTGTATCTTTTTCTTCTGGAACTGCTGTTTCTTTCATTTCTGACGATGTCATTGCTGGGGCCTGGTCACCACCTATTGCTTCACCCTCTTGTTCTGTTGCTTTTGGTAGTTTAGATTTTGCAAGTACCTGTGTTACTGGTTCAGACACCATAGGCTTCTCTTTCCCAGATTGTTTTGTTGTGTTCTCAATAATGGCAACCATCTCTAAAACTTTACCAGTCTTAATATTCTCCGTTGTCGCTGGTTGTGCATTCTCTTTTGGGAAGTTCTGGACTTGGTTTGGTGTCTTGACCCCAGTCTTCTGTTTGAGAAACCACAATTTCTGTTGCTACAGGTTTTGCTTCAACTTTTGGCAATACTATCTCTAGAGGTTTTAGTATGACTTCAGAACTAGTGTCAGGCTCTTCTGGTGTTTCTGTGTGCTCAGATACATCCTTTGAAAGTGCAGAAACAACTGTGTGTTCTCTTATTTTATAAACCATGTCTCCAATTTCACTTCCTGCATCAACAATTATTTCAGGAGATTTATCAGTAGGAGTTTCATTGCTGTCAGTGTTTGTCAGAGGTCGCCCTTCCTTCACTGCATGTTCCTCTTCCTCTTTCACAAAAATCCCATCCGTTCTGTCAGTTGCACTGTCTTCCACTTTATCATCCAAATGTATTTTAATGTCTTCTTTATGGAGCTCTTCAGCCTCTTCAACTAATACTGGTTCTGGAAGAGACACCTCCTTGGCTGGCAGCTGTTCTCTGGCTAATGATTTATCTCCAGCTTCTGAAATATTTTCAACCTCAATATTTTTAACGACTTCTGAAGCAATAACATCCCCTGTCTCTTCTTCTACATGTATTTCCTTAATGTCCTGCTGTGCCATTTTTTCATAATCTTTTTCTTCCATTTTCCCACTGATGTCCTCCACAGTCACCACTGAATCACCTGCTAATAAGACTGCATCTTTTACGTCAACTTGTATTTCACAGGCATCAACATGTATTGATTCAACTGCTTCTAATTTTAAACTCCCTTCTAATTCCAGTGTCTCTGCCTGTATGTGATCTGAAATTGGACTTATAATACTATCAGTCGCTGTGATTTCCAGACACTCCACAGCAGAAGCATTAATTTCTATTTCTTTGACTTCTTTACTTGTGGTAGTGCCAGGACTGCTGTCTATATCACCATGTGTCAAAGACTCAACTACTTCAGTGGATGCAGGTTGATCATACTCAGCAACGGACAATTCAACATCTGAAAGCGTGAGCTCTTTTTCAGGTTCAGCAGCTACTGGTTGTTCATATACAGGTTCCTCTAACACTGAATGCAGTGGACACTCTGTTTCAGGACCATGGGTGTAGTCTGACATAACCTGTTCCAGCCCAGCTTCACTTTGCATTGTCTCAATCACCTGTCTGAGTTCAATACCAGTTGTACATTCCTCTCTTTGTTCCTCCATATCAGTCTCCTCTGATCCTCCCACAAGAGGCTCTGCCACTAATTGAATAACTTGCTCTACACTTAGCTCAGTTTCAATGGCAGATTCCTTTTCATTTACAATTACTTCCTGATACTCAGTCTTTAGTTCCTTAATTTCAGCCTCATAGACCTCATCTGTCCAAAGTCCTGCAATTTCAGTTTCATTTGTAAAGTTATCAGAGACTAATTCAGTTGGGGCAGCATCACTTACTTCAGGTATTGCCTCCACTAAGGGTGCCGGGAGATGTTCATCAACATATTCTATTTCTTGAGATTCTAGGCCTGTACATATTGCTGTTGCCTCAGTTTTCTTATGTGCAACCAAAACCTTTGTTTCCTCTGTTGTGGAGGACTGTACAATATAAGGTGAAAATGACACGGCCAGAGATTCTTGGCTTTCATCTTTTGTAGTAACTGACTGAACACTTGGAGTCATGCAGATAGATTGAATAGCTTCCTGTAGGATCACATCTGATGTTTGTATGCCATATTCAGCTGACACTGGTGTAACATGCCCAGATGACCTGGGTGAATCGGTTAGTTGCGAGACTGCCGAGACCATTTCAGTAGTGTCATCCCCAATAAATTGTTCACTTGATGGTTCTGCTGTCAACTCCACAATGTCCTCGGCTAAGGTGTCATCCTGTGTTGTCCACTCAGCAGATGATATTGGTGTTTCAATGCTTTCCTCATTGATGCCTTCTTCTGGAATATCACTCAGTTGCTGATGTTTGCTCACAAAGTCTGTAAGTTCTTCAAAGTCTTCTGATAATCCATGTATGACTGTTGGTCCAGTGTTAATTGGAACTTTAGCTGCAATTTTGGGCACCAAGTTATTAGATGTGTCCTGTTCTAACACTTGTGAAGTCATCTCTGGCATCTCATGCTCTATTGTGATTTCAACTCGTTGCTCATGCACCTCCTTCAGACTTTCAGGCTCAATTATTTCATACTCAGACAGAGGAATAATAGCTGGGGTTTCATCATCTTCATCACCTGTTTCATGATCCTTTGCAGCCTGATCGGAGGATATCTGGTCTTTCCTTTCATCTGATTTTCTCTTTTTATGCCCTGGAATGAGTTTCTTCATAGAAAATGGTTCGTCTTTGTTCATCTCACTGTCTGAAGGTATCTGCTCAGGGGTACTACTTTCTCCAGTTCTGACCTTTCTCTTCGGGGTGAACATTTTTTTTAAACGTTTTCCATGTGGATCCCATCTCTCCCTCTGCAGGACTTCCAGTTTGTTCATTAGATGATGTGAGATGATCATAATCGCCCTCAATGGAACTTCCCAGTGGAGAGTCAGTTGTTTTCTCATATTCCTCTCCTTTGTCTGGCGTTTCATCCTCATTTGTTTTTCTAGCTCTTTTTTTAGCAGAACCACCACAAATCAGTGCCTCCCAGGAAACGGTGGTGTCAGATTTCTTTTTGGACTCTTGAGGGCTTACATCAGCCACCAGCTCCTCTTCAGCAGGTTTTGGTTCCCCAACCACTGGTTCCTCCACTTTTGCGAGCTCTGTCAATTCCGAGGATGGTTTCGGATGTTCAGTTACTTGTTCCTCTGCCTCAATCACCTTTTCTGCAGCTTTACTTTCTCACTGCCTTCTTGTGGAAAATTTCCTGAAAAGTCTTTTAAGTGGACTTCCTTGTACCTTATCTTTCCCTAGAGAATTCTGAAGCTCTCGTTCAGGTAACAACTTGTCATTGTCTTTCTCCTGTGAATCTTTTTCTTCCTCTGATGTAATATAAGGGATATCAAGGCATATATATTTACTGTCCTCTTTTTCGGCCTCTTCTACACCCATTCTCTCAATTCTTTTGAGTTCCTCTTCCTTACTCTCTTTTTGCATTTCCTCTTCTTTCTTTTTCTTTCTTAAACTGGCAAAGAGTCCTTGTGTAAAGAATTGCTTGATTGGTGACATCGGTTCCTCCGGCTCAGGACTTCCTTCTTTTTCCAGTTCTTTCTCAGGTGTGTCCTCCACATGATGTTCCACTATCTTTATGTCCTGATCCAGCTCTTTTTCATTGTCTGTTTGTTGAGAGGGTTCAGCTGCATCAGGCTGGGAAGACACCTCACTTTTTCGAGTCTCATCAGGTGTGTTTTCATTTGCTGCCACTGCACTGTTCTCCTGGGTGTCACTGGAGTCCTCTGAGGGACTTGTGATTTTTTCTTCTTCTTCATCTGATGCAGTCTTTTCACATGAGTCTTTTTTTAGGGTAAACTTAAATCCAACAAATCTGAAGATTTTTTTGAAGCCAACTTCATTGATATCATTCACTTGGTTGTCCTCCACAGTTTCCTCCTTCACAGTCATACTATCTGCATTAACCATCTCTGTGCTCTCAATCTTTGTGACTGGTTGAAGAGCATCCATTTCCTGGAGGTCTTCAGTTGTTTCTGTGCCATCTTCTTTCAGAGTAACAAACCCTGAGCCAACTGACAAAAAATAAATAATTAAATAAGAACGAAAATTGCCAAGGTAAGTGTATACTCAAAAAATATTTGATATTTACTACTATAAAAAAGTGCTGTTCTCATTTCATTTGGAAACAATAAGGGAAACAATTAAATTAATAGCAATAATATAGTTTTACATACCATCTGCAAGTACTCTCTCCTCAAAGTTGCCATTTAATTCATCTGCATGGTTCCTTGTCTTTACATTCAAACTGGAGATCTGCAATAACTACATGGAAAAGACAGGACAGATTAAGAAGTGATTAACAAAGTAAATTATACTTTATAAATTATTTGTCATTACATCACTGTAGCTCTTAACTATACGTATTATCTATATGCTATTTTTGGCAACAATCTCAGTGAGTTTGTCATATTATAGTTTGTCTCATGTATGTTCAGCACTGCTCACTCAGGCCAAAGATAGAAACTACGGAAAAGTACAACTACGAAGTCTGATTCAAGTTAAGAAATTCCCCAAACACTTTTACAAAAGTTATCACAATACTACATTTTCTGAATGTTAAGTGCCTAACCACAATGTAGTTTGAAGGAGATGGCCCTTGGGATAACTAACAAAACAAAATAAATGAACATGAATTTATGGAACCCGAGTATCACATAGCTCTCCTTTGACTAAAAGCCATCTCACAGACTTCCTGTTAAACCATGGCTGACCTCATCAAGTTTTACATGGAAAATCATTGCACCCAGTGCAGTAAGGGAGAATTCCATCAATCCTTTGGGAATAAGAGCACTACAAATATCCCTCCATTAATGTGCACACATTAGTACAAAAAAACTGACAAACCCAAAAACTAAAAGGAGATGGAGTTGTGATATGTAATACACCATCTTTTCAAAAACCGAAAAGAAATTGCATTTTAAAATTCTTAACCTACACATTTAATCCAATAAAATAATTCAGATGAACAAGCAAACAAACATCAAAGGACAAACCAGAAATTCAACCCACATGATAAGAAGCAGTTTAGTAGTGATGGAACACTGTTAATTCTAATTTAAAGTTTGGAGTCAAGTAAAAAAGATACCATATTATTTGCCAGCCACTGAGGATGCATCCATTATCAGTGTTATTGAATTTATTCAGTCTGCAATATTAACAGAAATACTTGGCAGATGACATGTGACTTCATCCAAGAAATATGTCAACTTCTGCAGTTCTCAAACCACAAGACTACAGTGATCAATTAAAAAAAAATTATATATATATATACAATTAATTCAAATCAAATAATGTGCTCTCTTATTAAACTAAACTATCTAATCTGAACTACCAGAACCAAAGCATATTTTGTTCATACAGCGAATTTAGGCCAAACATCTATAAAAATAGGACAAAGTCACCTAATCTTTCTTTTGACTCTCATTACTGCAGTTAAGTAGCTGCAAATGATAGTCAGGATATTGCATTATGGACATTCTTGATAAATTTTCCACACCAATCAAAACACACTTTCATCCTAATGTAACTAATTTCAGAGAGCTTGACAATATAACCTTTCTTCTTACAGCTACATCTGAGAATCTGGTAAGATGCTTCCTCATATAAAAGAAAAATCACAAATAAGATCTCTTGTGAATATCAGTTGTTTCTACTAAAAAAAGCAATGAACTGCTAGAAATAAATACATAAATAATATTTAAGTTGTAATTCAAACATTAAGTTTGACAACAAAATACTATTTCAGTCTTTCTCAAAATTTCATGTTTAATCCAATGTGTTACTTGCTATTTCTGTGTATATTATTTAAGACATTTACTTACAATTTCTGAGTGAAAATGGTTTCAAAGTTAAGTATATTGCTTTAGTCTGCTGTATCTGAAAATGTTATCCTGTAATAAAGACTATACTTTCTCTGACTTTTCCTCTCTACTTTTGCCAAGATTTGCCAAAGCACCAAAGTCCACACTATTTTATAAATCTATACATTTACTCTGTAAACAATTGTCTAACTTATCCTAAAAGATAAACACCTGATAGACAGATAAACAAAACAAAACTCAGAAATCCCTTCTACTCAGCTGAAAAGAGCGTCTACACAACATTTTGAGCATCGTATGTTCTGCATTACCTCAAAAATGCCGTAACGGAGGCAGCACACTATGTTTCGAGTTACAACCTGTGTGTGTCTTTAGATTCAGAGCTCATGTCTTTGAAACTTTGTGAAGCATTTCTCTGCAGCAGGAGGCTGGTTCATGCATTCTACCTTGTCATCAGCACTGCCGTCATCCTGAGCATCGCTCGCCGCTGCAGTGAGCTCCTCCGCCGCTGCGTCCTCCTCACATCTGCTGTCCCGTTGCGCGGATGATGCCGTAGCTCCCATTTCACAATCCTTCTCTCGTTCTCTTCGGTTTCTTCCCTTTCTTCCCTTTCACCCGATGTAACTGCAAAGCGAAAGGGGGAATATCCGAGTGCTGAACGGTGTCAGACTCAGAAGTGATTCAGTTTGGCTCGATGCAAACTCTTTTAGGAGAGACACATCCTTCCTGCATCACATGAACACACTGGCACGCCTCGACACATCAGTGGGAGAGAGAACGAGAGTCCTGGGATGACCGAGGGACAACCTCTACAATGAATGTTTTCATCCCATGATTAGGGGGAGCGCGGGGCACAAAGTAACGCGGGGTAAGTTGTAACACACGTGGTTTAAATATTTCCACACATGCTAGCATAACCAAATTTACAGCATTTACTAGTTACCATATCAACATTATATAGAGAAAACACTATTTACTTTAATAGATTTTAATGATAAACGATGAGAAACAGGTGAATAAATACTTACAGTCAATGTTTAATGTTAAGAAATTATTATTTCAAGACACGTAAAGCATTTGGCTCGTTTATGTGGGCCGTCCCAAGCATGGTTGCAATGTGTTCATTGTCAAATTCGATTTACACAATTTGAGAAAGTCAAAAAGTGTTACTTTGTGCCCCGCTCTCCCCCTATGTTTATGTACAGGCCAATGATTGCATTAAGGCACTCAAAATAGCTCCTATTGTGTGTGGAATAACTATAATTGTGTTTTTTTAGGCAAACGTTAATTTCAAAGTTGTAAAAACGAAGTACAGATCTTCTCATGGGACTATGAGGGAAAGCTCTTAATTGTACTCCAAAACAATGTATTTTGTGATATAATTTGTATTTAAAGCTGTCAAATGATTTAATTCAACGTCACTTAAGCATATTAAATCCAATTAAATAATTTAGAACAGAAAACTAGAACAATCAAATGTCAAACCAGAAATCCAGTTCATCAGTTATTAATTATGAAATGGTGGAAACTATGTGGACACTCCCTAAACAATAACAGGTATTTCTTATTAACAGGTTTCCCTATTCCACCAATTCTAGTGAGACGAATATTAATGGCATTCTAGAGAATTCTGTGCTTCCAACTTTGTTGCAGAAGTTTGAGGAGGGTAATTTTCTGTTCAAAAAGCATGCAAAATACATGAACCTTTCTCTGTATGTTAAAGGTTGAACTTTTCTGGGAAGGCATTTCGCTAAATGTTAAACACTGATTGAACATGGAACATTCATGGATTTGCACCAGTTTAGACTTAAGAGCATCAGTAAAGAGGTCTGGCTTGCAGTTGGTGTTCCAGTTGATCTTGAAGATGTCCAGGTCTGAACTAAGTACATGCCAGTAAGTTCCTCAAAGCATTTCATTTTCCACATGCAGTATTGCCATGCAGGAACAGCTTCAACAACACTGAAAGCATATAATTTTCTAGTATTACATGCTACAGCATTAAGATTTGTCCTGACAGAATAGGCAAACCAAGGGGGTTTGCATATACTTTGGCCACATACATGTGGCTCAAATCTAATATTACACACCTTTCAAAGAACAACTTCCCATTGGTGGAGTATGAAGGTTAAAACATCACGGTGTTGAGCTGCTTTCCAATGGCAGAGATTGGATATCTCTTTCTGTATGCTGGGAACGAACACTTGGGAAACAGTTCTTTCAGTAATCCCAAACACAAGGTAAAATAAACCTTGGTGTGGCTCAAGAACAATGAAGGTGAATGTCTTACAAAAGCCCAGCCAAAACCCTGATCTTAAAGGGGTCATATGATGCGATTTCAAGTTTTCCTTTCTCTTTGGAGTGTTACAAGCTGATTGTGCATAGATAAGATCCCTGAAGTTGCAAAGACTAAAGTCTCAAAACCAAAGAGATATTCTTTATCAAAGTTAAGACTCTGCCACGCCCCCCTAAAACGGCTTGTTCTAACACGCCCCCACATATCTAGGTCACTATGTGGGAATATTTGCATAATGTGCCCAAATGTGCACGCAAAGAAAGAAGGCGTGGTTTCAGTAACCGCAGTTAGTGTTGATGCAGCATGTCAGGGAGACGCTGTGTGTTTCTAGGCGAAAGCAAAAGCACTTTATTTGGCCTTCCGAAAGTAGATGCATTTAGGAATCTTTAAGATTACTTACAACAGAACAGCAATGCATTTTATGGACGACCGTTTCGTGAACCTAGGAGAGGAGGTAATTCTGAATCAGTTACTGTTTTGTTATTAGTTTAAGTATTTGTTATTGACTGTTCAAATGCGGAGTTTTGTGCAGCGCTGAGTAACGCGTTTTGTGTGTGTGTGTGTGTGTGTGTGTGTGTGAGAGAGAGAGAGAGAGAGAGACAGCGTCACATCACAGTAGAGTCAGCTGTCGTAACCGTGGCTTGTGTACTGCACACATACCAGCTTCATCACGGTGTCTGTCACGTGACTCTGTTACCCTTTCGGGCTTGAACTGATGGTAAAACTAATGACATTATTTACTGTCTTTACATTTATTTTGAAAGATGAAGCTCGCGATTATGGTAAGGGGCGTTACATTTCCGACGAGTGCTTGCGGTGTTCGGCCAATCACAATGCACTGGGTCAGCTGGCCAATCAGAGCAGACTGCGCTTGTCGGAAGGAGGGACTTTGTAGAAAACGAAGCGTTTGAGAGAGGCGGGGCATAGAGGACCTACAATAATGTACAGTATTTGAAAAATAATGTGTTTTTTGAACATTAAAGCATGTCAACATATTCTGTTACACCAAATACACAAAATAATGATCTTTAAAAAAGCATCATATGACCCCTTTAATCTAATTGTGAATCCACATGCAGCACTATTTACAGATGTAGGATTTGTAATTCATTGAAATGAGAAAATGAAATAAAGGCATCCAAACAACTTTTCAACTTTAATAAACATTAAAAGGCATCCAGCAACCAATTCATCTGAAAGCTCTGCTTTTAGTGTAACTAATACTGTAAAAAATAACATTTTATAGTTGTAAATAAAACAAAGATTACTGGAGCATGTTTTACAAGAAATCAGTATTTCAGTTTTCTTACTTCAAAATTTCACGTTTAATTCAATGTGTTACTTGCCATTCTTTGTAATTATATCATTATTTCTAAGTAAATTCTACACCAAATGATTTTAAGTGTAGTAATGTGCTAAACTGAGTTTAACCTTAAAGGGATAGTTCACCCAAAAATGAAAATTCTGTCATTAATTACTCACCCTCGTCTTTCCAAACTCGTAAGACCTTCGTTCATCTTCGGAACACAAATTAAGATATTTTTTATGAAATCTGAGAGCTCTCTGATCCTCCTATAGACAGCAATGGAACTACTACGATCAAGGTCCAGAAACGTAGCAAGGAGATCGGTAAAGGATATTACCACGATCAACGCATATTACCACGATGGAACGACTTGAGGGTGAGTAATTAATGACAGAGTTTTCATTTTTGGGTGAACTAACCCTTTAACCAATATGTCTAAATTTCATAAAGTAGATATAAATACTACTAATTATCATTATTATTTACACTAATTTACAGATTTACTTAATGTCTTTTAATACAAAACTGTATAGGACATGAGCTACTGTAGAAGATACATCAAAAACAAACTCCTCATTTAGAATCAGTCTGAACCTCAGCCAATGCCCATGCTTTAAAAGGCACATGACATTAAGTTAAACTGTAAAAGCAGATTTCGTGTTGACATCTGTAGTCATATAGGGTTAAAATAATTTACAGCCATGGAAAAGGTATTATGTAACAACAGTAAGAGAAAAGTCTACTAATTCGGGAGCAATGGGAGTGAACCTTTTTGTGACATTCTAACATTCAGGAGTATTTAAAAAGTAAAAAATATAGACATTTCCAGCCATTTTGGGCAGCTCATGCCCCAAAGCAGTAAAGCAGAAAGTATAGGCACAGGGTGAATTAAAATCAACTGACTGGTCAAATGTTATTCCGAGAAGGAACAGCCTTCATCATAATGCAATTTGAGATTAAATGAGGGCATGTGAATTCAAACATCACGAGTGTGACAAACAACCCCTACATAAAACGCTCTGCAGTGGCTTTCATATGTTCCGCCTTTCTCAAGGAGTTCATCTAAACACATTTTCATTCCTTCAGAGGAAAGGTTTGACCTTTCAAGAAAGTAGGATAATTAAAATTTCCAAAACGACCTTTTGTTTATTACATAACTTAACATGATATTACACAACTTTAAAAAGAGTGTTCATCATTTTGCGCCCCCTCTAGTCATGTTGAAACCACGAGTTTCCTAAACGGTAAACGTTTATGATGCACTTTTCTGTACAGAAAATGTAGACACAAAGGCTGTCAAGCTCCAAAAAGGACAAAACAGTGGCATAACAAACCTGGCAAAGTCACAAGAAAATGGTGTGTGACGTCATGATGTATCAGGTTCATGTTTACATTCATGCATTTACGCACAAACGCATTGCATCTCTCATGGTATGTAATTTATCAAACAGAGTTGTTGTATTCAGCATTGTATTGGATTGTAAAACAACATTTGTTAAGAACTCCTTCTTATTTGCCATTTCTGCTGCAGCAAACAGTATGCCCAGTTGGGCCACAAATGACAAGATTGTCTCAAGTTCTCTAAACCAACAGCATGAGTTTGTGGCAGGGCTCAGACACAGAGACACACCTCACCTTCAACCATTCACACAATTTTATTTTATGAAGAACATTATCAACATATAGACAATCAACGTGAATTACTACTGGGCCTGAAGATCAAGATAACACAAAACAGGAAATAAACACATCAAGGGCAGATTAAATATTCCGTTAGCTCATTGGCTGGTGCACAGATGCCGTGGATCATCTACTGGAGAGAGCAACACAACATGTCGGTGGTCTGAGCCCACCGAACCCAAAGTTGTTGAACTCAAATCTCAACAGGAAACTTGCATCACTTACCACAGAGCAGGAAGTGACAGTTCTACAAGCTGTTCAATAACCTTTTGACTTGATCACATTCCAAATGCATGCACGTTAAATCCAAGTTTGAGTTCTTACAAAATACATAAACAAGCAAACTACTATAAGCAGGATTATTATGTTTAACTAAAACCATTAAAAAATGTTACTTAAAATAAATCTTTACTGAAATAAAAAAATGTATTTAATTTCTATTTGTATTTAGTTTCTAATTTCTCATTTTCCTTTAGTTTAGATTGATGTACTGAAATAACTAAAATTGAACTAAAAATACTAAAATTA